AGGGAGACAAATATACCCAAGTTAACAGGGCTGCTTAGGGTAGTCACCTAAAATGAAGTTCAAGTCAACAATTTGCCCGAAGTAGAATCAGAAATATCATCTAGTTGAGTGTTCTTATTATGAGGCCATTTTTAGGGCCTTTTTCTTTCTCCTTCCCTTCAGATGTTTTTCCTTTTTTTTTTCATCATATTTTTATCCTGAGTCAAGAAAGCTTTCCTACTGAAACTGGGAAGTATAATCCCATCATCATTTTTTACTGGGACAGGAAAATCCCCAACCAGCTCCCCATAGTAAATAGTTTACTTATTTTTCCTAAAAACATAGCCTGTGGTGTGTCTGAATTAAAACACCCATTACCAAAGACTCTTATTCTTTATTGCGTCCCTGGTAACAGACGTATTTGGCAAGAAAGTCAACAGTGACTCAGTTGTAGTTTCATACCCAGGCTTACCTTGCCTGGGTAAGAATGGAGCAAGCACACTGTTGGTCCCTTTCTACCCTTTGTATACTATAAACAGGATGCAAGACACAGCTGGTGCATGTGGCAGCAACTGTAGCATTATCTGCAGATATTCCTCAAAAATGGAAGAAGTTCCCCTGGAGGGCGTCTGGCCATTTTAAGGTCAATCTGTGCTGTGGTAGAGAGGCAAGCTCTAAGTCTTTCAAAGGTGATTCTATTGCTGACTATAGGCAACATGAAAAATTTTCAGTATTTACTTCGGTGATCAGAGGATGAGATAATGTGAAAATAAAGTACCATCTTCGGTTAAGGATTCACACTGATATTTGTCTGGATATTGCAGTTGAGGAGAATCTGATTGTGTATATCCAACTGCTTAGTGCTGTTTCTGGCTTGTCTGAAACACATTTCCTTTCCCTGTCACAACTCCCAGGTGCTACTGCTGAGCAAATAGTAACATCGCTGCCAGAAGTATTTGAAAAGAACAAAAAAATTGATTTGGACAATCTGTGTGCTGTTGCCATTGATGGAGACACAACTGTGAGTAGGGTTAGGACTGAGGTCATAACAAGGTTAAAAGAAAAGTGCCCAGGAATTCTCCCCTGTCACATTTCACACTGAATTGCTCCTGTTTTTCAGCAGATGCTACAGACAATGCACTGTGCTCCATTAAATACGGGGAATCATTTAGCTACATTTACAAGCTACATTGAAAAGTCACTCCAGAATCACTGTACTTGAAAGGCTACATGGAAAGGGCTAGGATATTGCATCACGCAGGCACTAGATGCTATATTTATATGTGCAACATAAAAAGCAAGGAACAAAGGCAGGAATGAACAGGGCTCTGGCTGTTTACAAGGGAGGGTGATGTTGCTGTCCTTATTCAAGAGTATAACGCACGTCATCCGAAGTCAGTGAAGACTGTAGCTATCAGGTGAGAATCCTGGTACCATGGCAAAGGTCACTGCTCAGATAAATATATTCTCAGTAACATTGCTTTTTTCAGTCCCCTGCATGGCCCTGTACAAGCAAGAGGCTTGAAGTTAATCACAAGATGGACTGGTAGGTTCTTCTGCCTAGTCCTTATCTGCACCTGTGCCTGTTCTCTCCTACTCACCTGGGAGCGTGTAACCACCTTGTACACCCAACAGAGCAGCATGCAAGCATTTACACGATCAAAGGCAGAATGTGCTTAAGACAGACTTTGGAAATCCAGCACAATTTGGCAAACTTCAAAGATAGTTGCCTTTCAAATGGGTTGTGGAGGAGGCCTTGGTAAATTTGAATGGTATGATTAGCATACCGGCTGTTTTTAAAACTGCTCAAGAAGAAGCTGTGTTAAAATCCATTTCCGCAAGACACATGCGTTTTCTTTTGGACAGGCTCCATTAGCTCTGTTTCTTAAATCAATTTTTCTGGCACAGATTTCTTCTTGGAAGAATGTACGACACCAGCTCAGTTTCCTAACCAAAACTTGACAGAATGTGTGCAGCACAGCATAATGGCATCTCTACTTCATGGCTTCCTAAAAGTTACAGTACAGAAACCTAGGAAGTGAATTTGACTATTCCAGGTCACATCTGTTGAAAAGCGAGCGAGACAACAGAAGATGCCAGGGTAGGCTGCCCAGCACAGTGTTCAAACACAGGTGAGGGCCACTGATAAAAGGTTTGCCAAAACGGGAGTTGCCAAGGTCTTAGAGGAGTTTCAGGGATACGTTCAAGTCTTACTAGATTTAAAGGATGATCCTTGGCAAACTCCCCCTGATGCTTCTCAGCACTTCTACAGCCAACAGTTGTTCCATCTGCTGCTGAGGCCGACTTTGAAGAATCCTTGCAAAGAGCAGCACACTAACTCTAACACTATACAAGAGGGAAAAAGACACAGCTTTTCAGAAGTGACCTAGATGTTTGCCAGTAGCTTGACACACTCTCAGGTAAGGCTGTCTCCTTGTCTCCAAACACTTGAGTGTATTACCAAAGCTGCGCCAGTGTAAACTGTGGGCTGAAAATAGAGATTCAGCAAACAGCATCTATTGAAAGCTTGTCTAAGGCATTAACTGTTCATCTGTAGAGGTCTGACGTACAGTAACAGGGGGAAAGACCACCACAAACTAACTTCAAGAACCAACTTGCTGCTGGCAATTAAAAAAAAAAAAAGTATTTTAAAATGGCTGTGAAACTCAGACAGATACTCCCTGGCAACAGCTTAAAAAAATTAAATTAAAAAAAAATAATCACCAAACACAACCAACTTTTGGAGCTGTTCAACAGAAACAAGCTTTGAAAAAGCAGAGGAAGGTCCACACAGACACAAACTAAGGCATTTAGTTTCAACACATACGCTTCAGTTTCTGCCACTGTGACAGATTTGCCAGCGTGTTTTCCGAGCCAGGCCACTGCACTATTGTATAAGCTTTATTCTAATTACTGTAGGCTCTATAAAGGTTTCTTTATCATTTAGTATTATAAATAATTGTGCTTCCAGGCTGGAGTTCAAAGCTCAGTATAGCATTCGCACAACACCACAGGCAGGTCAGGTGACCTTTCTCCAATTCTCCTCTCTCTGGTGCTGAGGACAGACAAAGTGATATGTCTGTCATACGCCATTACCATTAGAACAGAATCTTGTTCTTTTATTACAACTGAACTCTGCCGGATTTCTCAG